CGCATTCAACATGCGGGCGCACGTAGGAATTGTGCATCATTGGGAAGATTGATGAGTCAAATCTCCCGAATGCCGTTCGCAGCATGCCGACGTGCTGGTTACCTCTTTTCGCAGCTACCTCAGCCTGTTTTGAACAGTTGGGGTCGCTCTGTACGTGCACACCAAGTTCACATTGCTGGAAGCTGGTCTGCAATCGGTTTGTTCCAAGCAAATGTGTGTAGTTATGTCTGTGGCGTAAGTGTACAACGCGACCTTTGTCCAAGTTGAATGGTAGGGTGCTTTGAACTGACCAGTTCGACACTATGTTAGGATCGCACTGAAGCCGTTCGTGGTCGACCGGTCCTCTGATCCTTCGCCATATCTTGATATCAGCAGCGAAAAATAGGAAATCGGAAGCAATTGACTTCGCCAAAGCGTTAATGAACATCAAGAATAGACGAGGTCCAAGTACCGAGCCTTGTGGTACACCACACGCCACAGCGATTGCATCAGACAATGATTCTGGGACTCTCATCTCTAACCGTCGTTCAGTGTAGAAAATTGCTAATCTAACTCAGGATTGGGTCTCCAAGGTAGTAGTTCCAAAGCTTCTGAAGAAGAATTCGATGGTCCAAGCGATCAAATACTATTGAGAAGTCCGGGTAGATGACATCGACTCCTGCGCCATCACCAACAGCTTCAGTCCAGATATTACGTACAAGTAATAGGTTAGTATTGTATGAACGCTTTTGATGAAAGTCATGTTGCTCTGCTGATATTAAATTGTGGCTTTCTAGCTACTGCATTAATGCATCTGCGATAATTGTTTCCATCATTTTGGATAGTACAGGAAGTAGTGTTTTTGAACGGCAGTTGGTAGGGTCAGTGGGGCCACATCCTTTATGGATAGGAGCAATGATCCCTCACTTCCACACTGGTCGTATACTGTTCTCTCTTAGACATCGCTGATAGAAAACAGCCAGTAGTTCTTCTAGATCACTAGCTACTGCCTGTAGAGCCTTCGGTCGGATGTTATCAACTCCAGGAAAACTGTGGTTATGCAACCATAACAACTTCTTCAACACAGATTCCGCAGTGAAGGTAATGTTATCTAAACACGACGGTGGTGCAATAGAAACGAAGAGAATATCTGGGCTTGTCACCTGCTAGAATGTTTGGGAGGAATAAAGCCGTAGGGGATCGGCTGCTTCCACTGCTGATCGCGTGCATCCATCAGCCGTGACTAGTGCTGGAACCCTCCGCTTCACCTTTCGAAGGCCGTCAACGTGCGTGTACAGAAGTTTGCGGTTCGTGCATAATCGCTTCATCAACTCCTGCTGATGAGTGATCTTGTCTTCGCGGATCAGTTTCACACAGAAGTTACGATGTGTCACGTATGCAGTCCAGGTTTCGGCATTCGGGCAGTCCTGGTGATCTCGCCATGCCAAATCCCTCCGGGACATACATTTACGTGTTCTGCTCCTCAGAAATGACTTACGCTTGTTTTTGGGTTGGAAGGGCTTCTGTTCCGATGCGTGCGCTATCAGTGTACTAAACGTTCTTGTAAATGTTTCCCAGGCAACATCCGGGGGGAATTCGGTTAAGAAAGTCCAAGATGTATCCTTAACAAGCTTAGACACACATTGTAGTGTGTGACAATATGCACTCTATCAACCTCCTTTTCAGGGTACTCCGCATAGCATATATAGTCAAAGAGTAGAGTAACATGATCACTATGACCCAGTGGTGTGCTTGTAACTATCCCGTCAACCATGAGTTCTTCCTTAGTGAACACAAGAGCCAATATGGATGCGTTGTTAGCAGCTCGAAATCTGATGGGAGAGGTTACGTGGTTGTACTGTGGGTGGCTAGCAATTAGCTCTTGCAAGCAGGCTTTAAACTGCGTACCGTCGGTTGCAGGCGTTTCTTTGTCGTGCACGTTAACGTCTCCCGCGATAAGAATGTGGGTGTAGGACTTGTTCTAAGCAAACTTAAAGACGTGGTTCAGTTTGGATTCCATTTCCGACTTTGAGTTTGGTGGGCGGTAAATCACGGCTAGTAGATATGTCTCCTTGTTTCGCAACCATAAACGGCACCAAAGCGAATCAGGAGCTCGGATTTCCGTGTGATCGATAACTTCACATCGGAGATTTGTATTAACATGGGGAATCACACCACCACCCCTTCCAGTGCTATCGGTCCGAAGCAGCGACATACCGGGTAAATTGATCTCAGAATCGGTTATCTCAGGGTTTAACCATGTCTCTGTAATCATGACGAGGTCCTGCGGTTGTGAGGCATGGAGTTCTCTAAGTTCGACCAACTTACTTAGAAGGCTTTGGGCGTTTGTGTACATGCAAGATAGGGCTTTTGTTGTTAGGAGTGCGTTGACGGATGTCAACTTTGTGTTACTTTTTAAACCGGCCGTTAGGTAGCCCGCCATTAATCGTGTTTGGTTTATGAATTTCAGTCAAGTTACATGGCATTACTGAGTATTCCTGAGCAGAAGTTTCAATCGTGCTGTGCTTTGACCTATTGTGTGCCGTGAGTGCTGTTGTGTCGGTCTCACCGCAGGACTGTGCAAATAAAGAATTGCAGCATTTACAAGTTCCATCGAGTTGCCTACGACTCTTGGCCGTTTGCCTGCTGCCTTTAGCCGGATCTCTGTTGGCAACCTGGCTCAAAACTTTAACCAGTTGTCCGACAGAACTTGCGTCATTCCCTCGGAGTGCAATAGTACTTTAATTAGTCTTGGACTGCAGCCCTCGTAGTAAGGTGATGATGGAACTCTTGTCAAACATTTGGCAATAATATGGTCAACAGAGAGTGTTTCGCTGATGTAGCACCACTGCTCTCGGTCATGTGTATGTGCTCCGTGATCAGAAGAATGTAGAAGCTCGGGAACACCATGAACAAATATTGTTTTATTGCTATCCCTATTGGCAATGCCGCGTTGCTCAACTGCTTCTTTTGAGCGATCTTTCCAAGGTAGATCAGGTAATATGCGTACTCCACTCGGTGAGTTGTGGAGACGAACTGCTGATAGCAGGACGGCCTCTGTCTTATCTGCTGAGTCTAGTGTTACTCGAAGAATTCGAGGTTCACTAGGGTGCACTGAGGTCGGGTGACGAGTTACGCGTTGCAGCACAGCAGGCCCAACCCGAATACCAATCGCATCGCAAATGGAACTCCATTGGTTGCGATCGTCTTGCAACTTGCCTTTTATTGTGCCAGATTTGGACTCTGGAACATTGGTGCAAACGAGAGTTAACGCAGCGTGGTTTTGCCTAGCGAGCACTGGCTTTATGTTTCTTGCCGGCCATTGGGGTTGTTTAAAAGGCACCATTGGAATTGACGGTGTAAGCTGCTTGCGCCACGCGTGCTCGGTATTGAAGATGGACTTATGTGTGTCGCTCCCGGTGTATTTGTCGAGGCAATCGATGGGTACGTTATCTGCTTGTTATCTGCACCGGATTGTCTTGGCTGAATCTCCAAGCTAAGCGTCTATGGTTGGAGAAGTGGAAGCAGGCATGTTTGTGCACTTATGGGAGTGAGGTGATCCAGTGGATTTAGAGACACAGACGCTGCAGTGCGGTTGGAGCGTCTAGCTCTCTTCTTCGACTAAGTTTCAGAGCCTACTTTGGCTGGTTGAGATAATTTCGTGGCCATATTTACCTCCGTCAAGCGATCTTAGTATTTACAAAATGCGCGATTATCTCTGTCATCCTATAGCGCTTTTTCATGAGCAAAGATAAACAGTTGACAATTGGAATGACTTGACATGTTGGACAAAACCCATTTGTGTCAGCAACTTTGTCTGTCTCACTCCTTGGACGGATTTGCCTACACATGGCGGACAGCATGATGTAATGCAGCTAGGACATGTTACTCCGAACTTGTCTGCGCAACAAAGGCGACGTGGAACCATTGGAATGCTAGTCATCCTTTTATCGCTTGCTGAAAGGCCTATCTGAGCGCTCACCATGGTGAATGTTCTTGGTGCTAGGCGTGACGCATAAGCGCGTCAAAACACGCACACGAATTGAGTGTTTCAACCGCACTGAGGTCAGACGGTAGAGACATATGGAGGTCGTAACGCGCGTTTGTAGGTAACTAAGCTAGATACAGTTTGCTGGCCAGTTGTGTTGCCGAAAGTGGAACTATTTCTTCGAACCCAGTGGCAATTGTTTTAATGGAAGCCAAATGATAGGTTTCAGTCGCTGCTTTTAATATCTGTCCTATGAGGATGCGGTTCGCGAAATGCGAGGGTGCTCATTACGTTTTTTCCAATTTGGCTTGCACTGCAGTGTGTCCTTGGGTTGTTAGCTCTATCTATCGCAATGTGGTTCACGGTTTTTAAAGCATCTGATTAAACTTTTGACACGTCGATAAAGTTCGTCCTGTAGGAGGTTACTAGCTCTGTTATTATCTGAGTAAGTTTAGAGGGTACAGATAAACCAATGGTTATAGTGTCTTAATAGAATACCATGAAGGTTTGTCTGTATGTATCTTTCCTGGACAGGTAAATGACCAAGTGACCATTTGTTGCATTCTTCAACCACCTTGTTTTTCATTGTCCAAACAATCGTTAACATTTTGTTCATTTCTAACCTAGGGCGGCAGTCTGACGTGGCTTTTGCCGCTATGAGTTAAGGCGTGTTCACGGAATTACATAATCTAACCTAATACAGTGGCCGTCTTTTTGTATTTTTTGTGTCTTCAGTGTGTTTTTTGTTTTGAAGCGAACGTTGGGAGCTGCTTCGCTTCCAAATCAAATGGTCCTGTACATGCCCGAAAAGGCACTCGACGGCCGTTTCGCTGTCAATAGTGTGTGTACATCGCATGTTTTCGGATCCATAAGGATTAACGTATTACACTATCACGTAGTAGCTTATGCCACGAACGAACGAGTTGGCCTTTAGTAAAAGTTCAACAACACTAATGCTCGCCGTGTATCAATACAGCCACGGCGTTACGCAACCAATAAGCGTTCCATATTTTCTTCGCATACCTCATTGCAGTTTTTCGACAATACTCAAGCCAGGGGCTGGATGTTCCCATCTCAGTGACGCAGACCGTGTACCTCGGTTCGCGACCGGTTCCAATGGCCGTCGTTGGCTTGCAGGTGACCCATCAGAAATTGCGGCTTATTTTTGACGAAATAACCAGCGACTGCGTTTCAGAAGACTGTCAGAAATGTGGAAGTCCACATGTGGATTGCTACCTCATCAACCAAGCTTCCCTTGTGCTGGTCTCGTCTGGAGGGGAGAAACAGGTGAGTTTTTGCCACTTTCAGCGAGGTCGTGGGTTTCCTCCCTAGACTTGATAATTGCTGTTGTTCAGTACTTGTATGTTACACTTGTTATGCGGGTTGCATAATGGCGGGTGATTCGATGTGATAGTTATTGAATTCAACAAATTCTCATTTGACAGTCACATAAACATTGTTCACCAAATGTTCCTTAATCGGTCTATTGGTATTCAGGAACTTAGTGGTACCAAACCTAGCTGAACATTCTTGACTCGATGTTGTTAATAAAAGGATGAGACAAATAGTTCGGAAATGTTTTCCGTACTTCATATAAAAGTTTCAGTAATGGAATTGATCACTGTGTGTTGAAATCGAACCCACCGTAGTGGATCGGAGGGTGTCACAAAATCCAGAAACGCGCATCGCAAATCACCAAGTCAGTTGCCTGCCGTGCACCTACAAACTATTAATTTTTTGCTTCCTTTAGGTGGGACAAAGTTTGAAGGAGATCAACTGCGCCCTTGTAGAAGACTTGGTTCAACGCTCAATACTCACCCAGTACGTTGGTTAATCTACCTGTTAACACTATACTTACGCAAACAGGTTCTACGTGTACAACTTTCAAGGGATTTGTATTGACAAACCCCGAACAACGCACAGCTTCGGGGCACGTTTGCGCGCGGTACGTTTACTGTTGCCATACTCAATGTAATTTCCGCAATGTACGCCCCATGTTCTCATACTTATTTGGGTTAATATTCCCTTGCTCACCGCTCTTAGGGTGTTTTGTTTGGCCACAGGCACTGACACTTCAACCTACTCAGACCTTTTGCCTACAACCCTTTAGCTGTACCTGGCACCAACTGCTATGTCCAACGATTAGCACAATACTGTAATGCCGAAATTTAACCACTCAATGGACTAGACCAAAGTGATCAACATACGTCGGTGATCAACCTACAGAAGTCTGGACCCATAAGGTTTACGCGGTTAACGTTCTAGCAATGAAAAGAAAAACAGTAGACTTAGAGGTGATCAGCTTCGGAGGTTCTATATATATGTGACCGATGTGGCTTCATCTATGCAGTTTCCGCATGATTAATACTGAGGCATCACTTTAACCTTGTCGGGAAGTAAAGATACACCGAAAAGCTCTCCTATCTCATTAGTGTAATTAGTTGGTTCTTCTTAACCGAATAGTCCATGAGGTCGACATGGGGGATTTAATCAACTACTCCGAGCATATAATGACAGCCACATTAGAAGTCAGTATTGGAGCCAGGAAAGTGAAGGCATTCTAGAGGAGCGGAACTGACGCATGCATGGCCTTGAAATAATCGGCTTAGTACGGATGGATATTGTTACAGAGTGAGCGTCTAAGGTGTTTATGCAACACAAAGGAACCAGTGTCAAACTCACTTGTGAGGGCGGAGTAAAGGATCAGCTGGAACTTGAGATGGGCTTTTGCTCTAACCCCAAGTTGCTTTAAAGACAAGCAAATAAGCGCCGTAGATTGCGGTGCGGAACCATCGTCGTACATAAAGCATGTGGGCCAAGGCCCTTAGGCGCCACGGATGTGCTGAAGCCGCTGAGGTCCTTGTTTTCGGACAACACCCTTGGCACCGACGACGTTCGCTTATAGGTGTTGAAGGTAGCCACCATGAGCTTAGTTGAACCGTTAGTCAGAAGCTTCCAACCATCTCTTTACCAGTTACAGGTTTGCACCAATTCCTTGCACAGCATCATCCCTCCGAGTTGTATGAGCGTTATTTGTGCAGAACACACTAATTAGTACTAACACACGACAGCAGTCCGCAGCCAATCGAATCCATAGCGTTTTCAATTTCATCCTTAATGGAATCAAGTCCTGCCATAGATCTCTCAAGATGCTCCTTAACGCTTTCAGGTTGTATCTAACGGGTGCAAGCGCCCCTATATCCTACAGTTCATTGAGTGACTATTCCCAAATCAGTACTGATCTGTTATACTATCGGCTGATTTGTGATTGGCTACTCAACAGACATAGGTATTTTAGGAGCCTTTTCGCCCGTTGGATGCAAATTGGAAACGTTATTGATCATCTTGAGATATCCATAGAGGTACATGATTTCCTTAGGAGAAATTTGAAAGTGCTATGTATTCACTTAGTTGAGGAAATGCATAATTCCAATGGTCTCCAAAGTTGTGGAGTTCCATTGTATCTGAAAAATCATCGAGTGATTGGGAAGGGGAAATATACTTGCTCCGAAGCAGCAGGGATTTGGTCACAATCCTTCATGCCAAACGAACTCAAAGATACCTGATACATGCTGGGCGGAATCTGTCAATGCTTGGGTAGGAAGTGACGAAGTCTACACGAGCTTTCAAAGGCCCTTGGTCTTCTACCACTTTTCCCAGCCAACTGCATACCTAACACATACAAATTCCTACTTTAAGAACTCATATTCCTCCATAGACATCTAATGGTGGTCCTTAACAAGGTCAAGTTTCATCAAATGGGCATGTTTCGATTTCATTTGATCTTATCAGAAAGAGAGAGTAGGAATCGAACCGCAGTCCACATTGAGATTGCTCGTCGCAATCCATGCACGTAACAAGTGTTTAAAAATGACCCACCAATCAGTCATTAAACGTTGTGCCAAACGTTGTCCGTCGTGACACTTTGGCTAAAGAGTTACAGGTTTTAACTAAGATCCCAGTGGCTGCGGGTTCGATGCATGCTATCTCTACCTGCGTGAGAGCTCACGGTGCGTTGAGGCTGGTATTGGCGAGATCCTGACAGATGGTCTACCCACTGCTGCTACTGTTGTACCATGGGCTCATGTCCTGGACGCCTCCTCGTGGCGACCGCCAGGTGGGAGCTGGGTTATGCCCTTCTCCCTACTAACATCCAGTACACCAATTCACATTAGTAAGTGAACTGACCATGTGCTAGACCCGCTGCCTTTCGGGTGTACATTTTATCGAAGACTTTGGCTGAGAACCCGAGTTGTTCTAATGTCAGGTACTGGTGCTCTGCCAGTATCCTAGTACAAATCCAATCCTATTCGGAGGTTAGGAAGTTGTCGATGACCCTCTTCTCGTAAAACCTAGCCATGGGAGACAACTGGTATGTATTCTCAGTAGTCTAGCAACTAGACGCAGAGCCAATAGAAAACCATGGAGATCCGCGGATAAGAGACAGGCATTGCGTCATAATCGTCGTGGCATAGTCGTTCAAGCTGAGCAACACACTTCAGCTAATACGCCGCAGGAAGAAAGGAACATTTTGACAAAAAGTAGAACAAAACATTTTCAGTTTGTTTTTCACTCGTCGATTTTTCTCTTTTTTGTCATTTTCACCATTAGAAGTATAAACATGTGAACCAATACAATACTGTACACAATTCTTCCAGTGATTTCGGTTGCGGGCCATGTTTTCAAGAGTGTTAAGCCATTGGCACTCCTCATCGTTGGGTCCCCATCCTGGAAGCCGTACGGATCCAACAGCGGCTAGACACGACGTCAGCGATTTCATGTGCTGCCGCCAAGTGGAAGGCTGACCACCACGCGGTCGCCTCCAGCCAGGTCCTTGACGAGCAAATAGAGCGCGACGCGGTAGACGCTCAGGTGCCATGCGTAGGACGTGACCGAGCCATCTCAACTGGCGCAACAAAATCAGTTTGTTGAAGGGAATACTCGCATTATCTAAGATGTGACGTCGAACGTCATTACTGTTAACTGGGTGTTGCCGCAAAACACGAATAATCCTCCTTAACCAAGCGTTATCGAAAGCAGAAAGACGACGCATAGCTTCCACGCGAATCGGCCAGGACTCACTCCCATACAACCACACTGAGCGAAGTTATGCGCTGTAAACGCGGCACTTTAGTGTGAATGAGACGCCGCGACGACGCCACAAGTGTCTCAAATTGACAAAAGCTGATCGAGCTTTAGCCATGCGAAGAGAAACTTCTTCGTTGATAGTGCCATTAGCAGAAACCCAGCTCCCAAGGTAGACGAAACTATCTACTTGTTCAAGTTGTGTACTTTCGAGAGTGAGCACGGGAGCAGGTGGAAGCCAATCTTGAGCAGTAGTTTACACTTCAATGGGACGAAGCTCATGCCATACTTAGATTTCTCAACCGCCAAACGATCCAGAATGAGTTACTTACCCTGAGGATCCTCACCAAGTAAGCCGAGATCATCAGCATAATCTAAGTCTGTTGCGCGCTCACCCGGTAGAAGCTCTAGGCCAAAATGTTGGAAACCTTCTAGAGCATTCGACAGAACGTCTTCGATTGCGAAGTTGAAGAGGAATGGGGACATAGCGCAGCCCTGTCGCACACCGCTATTGACAGTGAATTGCGAGGAAAGCTTGCCATAGACCCTCACTCTGCCGGATGTATGCAGGTAAAGTGCTCGTAAGATGGTGGTATATTTCTCTGGCACCCTGTTCTTTAGCAAGCAACGCCATAAAGCAGGGCGATCAACAGAGTGAAAAACGTCACGTATGCCTGGGAATGCAACGATAGTGGGTCTGTGATAAATGTGGCGATGTTCGAGGAGCTGGCGGAGCGTGAAGATTTGGTCCACGCATCCGCGGTCGGGACGAAAGCCAGCTTGTTCTTCACGGTAGTAAGATTCACGTACTGGGGATAGTCTGCAAAGCAGAATGGATGCCAATAGCTTGGAAGCAACCGAAATACGACTGGTACCGCGATGCTTTACACATGAAGTGCGAGCGCCTTTCTTGAAAAGCGGGACAATAACTGATTCGCGCCAAGAAGAAGGCACTTTCACTTCATGGCAGATTTTCGCATACAGCGCGGTCAGCTGGTTAATGATTGCCACATCTCCGTACTTGAACAACTCCGGAGGAAGTCTGTCTGAACAGGCAGCCCTGGACCGCCTCAAGCATTCAATCTCGAGGCAGACTACCCCTTCGCTGGGTGGATTCAGTGGGACGAGCCAGGGTGGACCACAAGGTGTACTGCATGTACTGATGGATGGTGGAGGCCAGTTGAACTGTGAATGAAAATGCTCGTCCCAGCGATCCATACGCCTAGGTTGGTTGTTGATCGGAGACTCATTCAACTCGCAAATGACCTCACTGACACCAGGCTTCCTGAGGTCAGTGGACCGAATGAGTTGGGAAACCTTGCGAGTGTTGCCATAGAGAGCAGCGGTCTCCATCTCTAAAGCACGCTCAGACCACCATGCCTTCCGATCCTTGCGTAGGCTGTGCTTGAGCAGCCGGTTAGCAGTACGGCGCCGCTCGTTGCAATCTGATTCTGCCGGGATATCTTTGCGACATTCAAACAGCTCCAGAGAACGAGCAGAGATCCAGGCGTTTAGTGGGCGTCGAGCTAGGACGCAGCTTGACTGTCCGAAAATGGTCATCGCTTTCCGTATAAAAGTCCAGTGTTGCTCCACATCTTGCGGTGGATTGCAACTGAGTGCATATGGTAGTGAAGACTGATAGCTCGCCTGGACATAGAAATCAGTTAATCGGTTTACATCAATCTTGCGGTGCTTCGTGCTTCGCGACCCCCAAAACACATACAGATTTTCGCGCAGACCAGTGCATGGTGTGAGTCAGTGAAGGTAGACCAAAAGGACCTGCAGTCCAGTACGCTGCAGCGCCATCTGAAGCTAATCGCAATGTGATCGATTTGAGACCACGGTTGTGTTGGCGAACGG